CCGATCAAGCACGAATTACCGTCTCACCCCCCAGCAATCAGATACCGTCGCGCCCCCCCCCCCCCCCCCAGCAAGCAGAACTGAATGCCCGCGAAGCTTGCGTTGTACCTGAGTATGCTTGTTCCCACGGTTATCCGATCGGTTTGAGATCGCATGACTTTGGGCGCAATCGGGGGAGGCCTCCATAAAGTTGAACATGGTGTGTTGCTTGTTATTGTGTTGTGTGTTGTTCGTTGCTTGTTCTGAGGCAACTTGAAGACGTTATGACAACTTTGCGTTGGGGGCATGTGATGGTCGTGTGATTGCGGTGATGCGGATGGTGATGGTGCTCTTGGAGCTGTGACAAACGTAAACGACATCCACTCATACATAGCTACGCCTGGCATTGTCCGAGGGTGACAGGCGCGCGCAATCTCTATCACGTGGCCGACCATATCTTCGCCAGCGTAAACCCAATAGAACTCCGGGCTGTCATAGTGGATGGCTTGCCATTCGCACAAATGCAAGAACCGATGATGCTCGGGCTGGAACTTCCAAAGCTTCAATGGAGGATGTCCATCAGACGCTTCGGATGACAAGTGGCTGTACAAGCAACACAAGGCCCGCCCCACCTCAGGCAGCCATTGCTTTGCGTTTCCAGATAGAAACATGCCCTCTGATTCAACGATGTCGCAAAAGTCAACGAGGTACTGGGCGACGCCCAAGCGACGGCGACTGCGGCCCGCGCCGCCATTAGTCCAGAACGAGCTTCAGCAAGAATATCGCGAGGTGTCGCGCGGCAGCGGCCTTGGCCTCGAGCTTCGACCAGCCCCCGCCGGCGCGAATCCGCTCAACTTTCAGTTTGCCCTGCAAGCGCGATTTCTCTTTAGTGGCCTTGAAATGAGCCTGCATATCCTTATACAACATGGCAGCGTTTGATTCGACGTTCGGCTAGCCCCACGCGCGGGCCAATATCCATCCCCAAACAATGTTCCCAGCGACGCGGGAGGCGACGCCTTGACCGACAGCGCGCAAGACGTCGATCATCACGCATTCCAGTCGCATGCCGATCACCTTCGCGAACAGAACGGGTAGGGCACCTACTTCCGCAACGCAAGACCCGCGGGCGCGCATCGTCCTGCGCCGACCGGCGCACGGCCTGCAATCAGTGAAAATACATTCCGGAATAGCGCGGCTGGCTGCACATAGCCAGCACATCTGATCGGCCCCAAGCTGGGAACTTGAGCAATTCACGCATGAATTGCCAGCCCCCGCGGACTTGAGCGAAAACACCTTTCCAGCCCGTGCGCGAGGTGCACCTCAAGGGAAACCTGGGGCACCCTGAACGCAGCAGCTCCTTCAACGGCTGCGCGAAGTCACCGCGCAGCGCGAGGAGCGAAGGAACCCAGGACACCCTGGCAAAAAGCAGAATGGTTTCTTGGTGCGCGCCCCTACTGCACGCGGGAACCCAATCTGAGCGCGAAACGACAGGTAATCACGGACCAACGTCTCCCAGTCCTGATTCGGCTCGCATGCTTCGGCGCGCGAAAGAACGCGTCGTTCTCGCGCGCGTCGCGGGGCGTTCCACGGGCCCCGCGCCAGGCACGAAGCACCGGGGCCCTCCGCCGCGAGGACGTTGACGGGCTCAGGGCCATCCGGGGGCCCGAAGGGCGGAGCGCCCCCCGCGCCGCCGCAGCCGGTTGAACCAGGAGGGGGCGGGAGAGGCAATCTCACTCAGGACAGGCCAGGCCGACCCGGGGCGTCTGCGGCGCCGCCCCCAGTCCCGATGGAACTCGGAGCACGCGTCACATTCTGCGACCCGCCACCGCCGCGCGCACGCGAAGGTCGGGTTCGGGCGAGGGGTCGCCAGAGGAGAATTACTGTCATCAGCGCCGACCAGCACTTCTCCAACGAAACGCCGTTCTCCCCCCCCCCCCTCCAGACGCTCGCAATGCCTGCCGCCGAACTCTGCTCCCCCTCCATGATTGCTCATCGAGCTGCGTCCTCGGCCTGTTTATTTTCGTGCTCAGCCTCCTGCAGAGACGTCTTAGCCGCCTCTGCCGTCGCTTGCTGACTCAGACGAGCAATTTGAACCATTCCCATAAGTCCCTATGAACGACCATCTGCTCGCTGAGGAGCATGTCCCTCGCAGCGGCTCTATCAAATGATCCTCCCGCTGCCGCGCGAGAGTCGCGATGCGTAGACAACTACGCCCCCGCATGCCATTGCAATCCGCGCAGAGCCAGCTGACGCCGCAATGCTACAGAGCTGTTCGGCACAGCACTCGAGAAATAATCATCAGCAGTGCTAGTCTAAGAGTATCCAGATGCCTGAGGTCGGTCTGCAACCAGAGCCGAGACCAAACAACTATCCGTAATATGTTAATTCTTTAAGAGATGATGTTAGTTGTCTCTACTTTCTTCGAGCTGTAGGCTGGCTACGGAGCTGGGTAGCGCACCTCTAAACAAGAAATGGTCACGCACATCCGTCTGCAATATCGAGACCTCTGAGATCGGTCTGAAACAAGAGCTACGACTGAAACACTGTTTGCAATGTACAAAATGCCTTGAGGCATGATGTGCGTTAAATCAAGTCGAGCTGTGGGCCAGCTACGGAGCTCAGATGCACACCAATCGACAGCACATGCTGAGGAACACACTCTAACGTATCTAGACACCTGAGATCGGTCTGCTTGCAGAGCTGCGACCAAATAACTATTTGAACTCTTCCTTTTTTAACAAAGACGGTGTTGGCTTCCTACACGTAATCCGAGTTGTCAGCAAGCTAGGGGCCGGAAAGCACACCGTCCGACAGGAAATCATCAGAAGTAATCGCGTACTCCGAGATTGGTCGGCAACGAGAGCTACAACTGAAAAATACTCACACTCTGCAATTCTTTTGTAAGGGATGATGTTTCTTTCCTGTACTTAACTCGAGCTGCAGGCAAGCTACGGATCTCAGATACACACCAATCGAGAGGAAATGCTGAGAAGCGCTAGTTTCATTCAGACGGCCGAGATCGGTCTGCTACCAGAGCTGCGACTAAAAAACGAGTTGCGCTCTTTAAAGTTTAGATAGGCGTGTTGGTTTTCTCTAGTTAATTCGGGCTGTAGGCAAGCTACGGAGCTAAAAGCAGACTGTTCGAATGGAAATGATCACGAGCGCTAGTCTGCAGTATCGAGACGTCTGAGAGAAGTCTGCTACCATAGCTGCGTGGACAAACAATTTGTGTTGCAAACAGCTACCAAGCTCGCATGCTCTACACGTGGAGGGAGCTTCGTAAGATTTACATATATCCTGAAACATATGTTCAGTTCATGTCGTGTATTTTCTTGCGTGGGTGTGATTGCTTCCCCAACTGAACTCGAGCTGTGGACAAGCTAGCAGCTGTCATAGTTGTATAAATCACACACCCTCGCGCGCGCTGAATGCGAGGTTGCCGCGCTCGCATACCATTCATATATATATATATATATATACATACATATGCATGTACATATATATATATATGTGTATATATATATACATATATATGGCAAAGAAGCTCCACGAGTTCCCGGCGGTAACCAAGGTTGACGGTTTACCGCCGGCTTCCAGTAACGACACACGTTCCGCACGCTGGCCTGCGACAAAGACCGTTTTCATCTCCCGATTTTCCTGGACACAGATTATCCGCCGTCGCTGGGCAATTGGGCCCCCAGGCCCAGCCATTCACCAGGATGGAAAGCCTGCTAGAAGAGGATTGCCAAAAAGGGCTACTGGACGCACGGCTACTTCTCGACCTCGTGCGACCCATCATAGTCGACCCGAGTATAGCACGTCTCACTGGAATCGGGGACCTCGGAGGATGGGGCGCAAGGTTCATGCCTGCTCTCCCCCTTGCCGTATCTTGAGCTTGACGGGTTGAATCTATCAAATCAGAAAGCTCATCATCGGCCCCTTCGACCTCGTGGGTCGTTGGATAGTGTGACACCGCTGCATGACTCCTGGCCGAAGGGAACTCTGCATTGACGAACCATCTACTTCCACACGCTGGTCGGATCGCCCGTTCCGTCGTTTTGGGAACGCAGCATCCTCAAAGGATCCCGAATGCTACCAACTCGGCTCCCAAGGGCTCAGCGTGTCAATTGGAGATTGACAAATTTCTATGAGCTCCGCTCCCTGATTCGAGCGATGTCAAGATACCTGGGGAATGGTTGAACCGCCCCCGGGTATACCGCCCAGTTCGGCCCGCATCTTTCTTCGAGCGTCAGCGAATCCCGATTAAATCGGCACTTCCGCTCGCTGCACGGCGCGAGTCTGCTTTCGGTGATGAACTCACCGAACTGATCTCCGACTCTATGAGTGCGGATAGCCGTCGGTCAATATCCACTTCTCTCATGTTACCATGTTCTCCATCAGTTCCGCCAGCGGTGCTAAACTAAACCAACCATACACGAAGCAAATGGAACCTTGCAGATCTTGCAGGAAGTGAATCAAAAGGCACGCCGATAGGAAACATTGATGGCATATTGCGGCGCGGCTGGTATCCCATGCCGCTCTCATGAATTGAACCAGAACTGTCGGCTGATAACCAATTATTTGCCAGAGGGACAGAAGACCTTGACGTTATGATTGGTATCATGTCTTGTTTTACTATCTTCACTTGGTCTAGCTCCTCTGAAAATTGACTCGTTATGGGTTCGGCCAGCATACACATGTATATCCGTTGAACAGAGAGCAAAAGGTAAGAGTGTGTGTAACTATACATATACGTGTACCTATATGTATATGCGAGCTGGAAAGGGGGCGCGCGCACCTCTTCACCTGCTCGCAGCCTCAACACAGCTGCGGCACACGCAGTGACCAATGTCAATGTTCAATGACGGCGGCGGCGGCAGCGGGTGACGGCAGGGACGGAGCCATATTTCGGAGGGCACCAACTATACACCAACACCGATCCTGGCCAGGATCGGTGTTGGTGTATAGTTGGTGCCTTCCTAATATTCTGCGCGCTAGCAAGGGTGACGCCCGCCCGCGTCCTGCGGCAGCAGGCGCGCACGGGGCCCTCCTCGCGGAAGACGAACCTGCTGCCGCTGGCGGGGACGGCTCCTCGCTCCCCCTGTCCTCCTCGCTCCTCGCTCTTGGCTCCTCGCTCCTGCTCGCTCCTCGCTCATTGCTCCTGGTCCCCCATTCATCGTTCCTCGCTCTTCCTCCTCCTCCTCCTCCTCCTCCTCCTCCTCCTCCTTCTCCTCCTCCTCCTCGCTCCTCGTCGCCTCCTCCTCCTCCTCCTCCTCCTCCCCTCCTCGTCCTCCTCCTCCTCCTCCTGCCCTCCTCCTCCTCCTCCTCCTCCTCCTCCTCCTCCTCCTCCTCGCTCCTCGTCCGCCTCCTCCCCTCCTCCTCCTCCTCCTCCTCCCTCCCTCTCCTCCTCCTCCTCCTCCTCCTCCTCCTCCTCCTCCTCGAGACACGAAACAACAGACTGTGCCACCACGAACGGTCGAAGCCCTGGGCACCCACCACCCAGCGACGCGGGGGGGAGGGAGGGAAAACCAAGAGGTGAAGAGAGAGAAAAGCAGGAACGACGGGACGACAGATGATGACCACGCACCTGAGGGCCAGGGGGAGAACGGGGGAGGAGGCCGTGGGCGCATGCGCGCGCCGGCTGCAAGCCAGCGGCACGGAGAAGCGGGGCACCAGACTGCGCGATTTGGACCGACGGGTCGCGAACCTTCAAGAGAGGCGCAGACGATTGGTCCATGTCCGTCGCAGCATGGACCTCAGGCCCGAGACCGACCCTACAGGCATGGAAGCGTAGGACGTCTGGCCCAGGCGCGCCAGTGGGAGCAACCGCAAGGAACCTCTAGAGATTCCGAAGTTGGGGGGGCGCAAATTCGAGAGAAGGCCGGGCTGGGGGAACCAGACCGCTCAACGTGACGCTCGGCTCCCGACGGGAAGGGCGTGGCCTTCCCAAACACAGGGGCCCAGCACTCCGCGAGCGCCTGGCGTGGCCCCTCAGGTGAAACCACGGAAGAGGCATCGGGGGCACAGCCTGGCCGACTGAAGGGAAACTGGGACACACACATAAATAGACACAAGTAACCAGATTCCCCATGGTTTCCCATATGTTCGGGGGTTCTGTCTCCCCCCCCCCCACTTCCCATATTTCCCCCTATTTTCTGGGGAACCGACGATGCATTGTGCCTGTGGGTTTTTTCCCCTCCTGGCCGACGCTCGTCCCGACGTCAGGTAGGGGCAGCGACGGCGGCAGGGCGCCCCCTTCTCGAGAGGGGCGGCCCCACGGCCGGGCACGATGCGCCGCCGGGCCGCCCTGCGTCCAGAGGGGCGCGCCCGTCTCTCCGACCAGGGCGCTCGGAAGCAGCCATCGCAGGCGCTCTCGATGGCCCGCCGACGACTCCGACGGAGCAACGACACACACCCATACCCACAGACCAGCTAGACGTAAGAGTGACCCTGGGTAAGAGTGGCCTCTGGTGCGCAGCTTTGGGGGGCGCGAGGGAGCCAAATCCAAGGGCGCCGGCCGCTTATATCGCATCGTGCTCGGCGATCGGGGGGAGCCCGACGAGCCCGCACCAAAGGTCACTCCGGCGAAGGGTCACTCTTACGTCTAGTCGAACAGAGGGGTCGGAGAGAGCTATGGGTGCGTGTTGTCGGATGGGGGTCCCCGCTCGAACGGGAGCGTTCCCCAGGGTCCGACAGCCCGCACCCGTACCCATGGCCGGTCCTCCTCCCAACGACCCCCCTATGGGGTATGGGTGTGTGTGTGTGTTGCTCGTTCGTCAGATTCTGCGCCCCTCTGGCGATGGGGCTCAGCGCGCAGGGAGCAGAGGCGCGCGGGATCGGCGGGCGCGACCTCGGCGCCGGAGCGAGAGAAACAAAGAAAGAAAGAGAGAGAGAGAGAGAGAGAAAAAAAAAAAAAAAAGAGAGAGAGAGAGAGAGAGATCGCGAGTGGTCTTCCCAGCTTGTTGCCCAATCACCATGGCGAGCCCCAGCTTCTCGGGCGGCTCGCAAGCGGAGAAATATATTGCAATTTCATTGCCTCGCACGATGTTGCCGACGACCGGGTCAGAGCAGAGGCGTGCGGGGAGAGGCCGAGAGCGATCAGGGCAAAGGGAAGCAGAGGGGGGAAGGGCAGAAAGAGAGAACGCCACAGAGGCATGGTCACTGACATCACTGCGGCGCCACTCCTCAGGTTCGCCTCGAGTCCGCTGGGACTGCCGGCCCTGGCCAAGGAGCCACGGGGGCAACCCGGTAAAACATCGATCGACCCTGGGCGCCGAGCCAGGGCCAGGATGAAAACGTGTCGGCTTTTCACCAGCGAGCTCCGTGCGCTCGCGCCCACTGGAACTCCAAATTGAGTCCCCCAGTCGCGCAGACCGCGGTCGAGAAGCGCGGATGCCCGACCCGCGTTTTCCGTCGGTGATACTAAAGTCCCCTACTATGGTGGGGCCATATTAACGTGGAGATTGTGAAGCCTTGTAAGCTGGTTGGAACATGAATCCTGGATGGCTCTTCAATCACAATGTTCTAGCTCGCGATTGTGCACGTTCCAACGCCACTGACAAAACTTCGAAACAGAGTCCCAAACCGCGGTGAGCGAAATGCGCCCTGGAAAAATTTCTTCAACTTGGAAAAAGCTGTCAAGGGCAGGGGGAACGAGAATGGCAACGCCGCCTCTACACGAGCTGGGAGGGGAAGAGACGCCAAACCCAAGTGGGGAATGGCGGCGCGGCGCGCCAGCTCAGCTACGGCCGCGCGGTCCCAGCGGGTCTCGCGCAACGCGATGACCGAGACAGACGCGCCGTTGTGCGCGCCAGCAATGAGCGTGAGCACGTGGGTCTCCATGGACACATTTGCGGCCCGATGATGGCACATCGATCTCGCATTCCAAGTGGCGAAGACCACGGTCTTACATCCAAGAGCTCGTTATCCACTCCACGATATAGCCGTTCCTGGGAAGACGCGGTCCGCCACAGCAGCAATTCGAGCACGTTCGACACGCGAGTCTGCCAGGCTCGCCAGGTTCCACTGGGCGCGAACAAGGCCGCATGGGTGCACCTCCACTTTCTCGGGTCGGGCGAAAGGGGGGGATAGCAAAGGGGGGGTTTGAGAATCAGCTCACGTAGCTGATTTTCCCGGCGCCTCCCGGCGCCGGAGGCGGCTATGTATCGAGGAATGGGCCCCTCGGTGAGGCCGAAACCAGCTGCATGCAGCAAATTTCGTAACCCCCCCTTTCCCAATCCCCCCCTTTCGCCCGGCCCGACTTTCGCAACAGGCAGCGAATTGGCAACCAAGGCGCCCGCCTCGCGATCGAAACACACAGCATCGCCGAGAGCCTGCCCCGGCGCTGCCTCGAGCGGCCTGCGCGCGCGGCCGACGAAGATCTCCACCCTCCTGCCGCCAGGCACCGCGGCCGAGAAGACCGTCTCCATCTGACTACCTACCAAACCACCCCAACCCAACCCGAAGACCCGAATTTGACCCGAATTTCGGGTTGGGGGGGGGTACGGGCTCCATGTGTTTTTTCGATGTTCCCCGACCCCCCCCCCCACTGGAAATGGAGGGCAAATCGTGGCCTTCGGGTTGGGTTGGGGTGGTTTGGTGGGCGGTGACCATCTGCATGGTCCTCCACGCAGCAGCGAGCGCGCGTGCCCAGCTCGCGCGTCAGCCGCGGGCCTGGTCGCGCCCTCCCTGCTCCACGCAGGGGGCACGAGGATGAACGACTTGGGCGTCTGCGGACCTGCCCGCGCAGAGTCTTCACCGAGACGGCGCTCACAGTACTGCAGCAACGGCTCCAGCGCAGATGCGATGGCGGAGACGGGGGCGGGCGCCCTGGCGTCGATACCAAACTCAGCGCACTCCAAGGGTCTGTCCAAATCTGCCGGTCCGGCAATCGGGATAATTACTGGGCTCTGCTCGATCGAGATCACATGCCCGTTCCAATCTGTCCAGTCGGGCGAGGAGGGGCGCGCTCGCACTTTCCAGCTCGTCAACGCGATCCTCACTAGCAACCACTTGCACCATGATGCCATCGAACCAAGCTTCAACGCTTGCTTCCAGGCGGGCGAAAATCGGGCCAGTGCTTGTTTTGATGACCCCATGTGCGATCTTTCGGAACGCCTCTGTTTTACTTCGACCAAGCACACGCGCACACGAATATGTGAACGCTTTGAACTCAACTGCTTGCGCCTCGCGAACCATCTGGGCGATGGACGACGGAAGAGCGCATCCACGGATCCTCTCCATCGCTCTGGCGCGGTTGACTCCCCATCTGAACCCAGAATTTGGAGGCGCCGGCCATGGCCGCGGCTGGCTTCCAAGCGGGGCACGTGCCGAAGAGGGCAGCGGACCACCGAGATCTCCACCGACGCCCATTGCAGCGGCGCCTGGAGTTGGGCAGCCGTGAACTTCATCGCCGGGGCGGGTGCTGGCGACGCCCAGCTGCCCGAGGATGCTGTCGCCCACCTTCTCGAAGCTGGCCCCATGCTCCGCCCCCGCGCCAGCACGACTCCGCCAAGAGTCACCACGACGAGAGCCAGAACCAGCAAATGCGCGGCTGTCAGACGGAGGAGGGGAACCCGACGGTGCGCGGGCGACAGAGTGAGCGGACGAGTCGGCATCCCCGTTCTTCCTCGTTTTCCTCGGCGTCGAGAGCGCATCCGGTCCATCCTTCCTGGTTTTCATACGTTTCTCCTGTCTGGTATCCGCTTCGTCGCGCGGAGGAACTGGAAACTCCGCGATGTAGCCTCGATCGGCACAGCGACGAGAACGATGCGAAGGGAAGGGAAGGGCCGCCTGCGAAGCCCCCGCGGTGGCAAGCTGAAAAAGGCGCCAGGGGCCCGAGCGAGCTTTGCCAGCCGTGGATCGGCGGCACCCACCTTCTCCTCCAGGGAAAACACTGCCTTGAGCTAACGTGGCTACGGAGGAGGAGGAGGGGGGGAAGGACGGGGGGGGAAGGAGGAAGGAGGAAGGAGGAGGGAGGAGGAGGAGGAGGAGGAGGAGGAGGAGGAGGAGGAGGAGGAGG